ATGTCTATAAGCACCAGCAAGGTTAAAGGCTGTGATTGTTGTGTGGTTGTTGTGTTGTCTGGGCCCACATCCCCAGAAGGACCCAGATCAGTTGGGGGTAGTGACCTGATGGGAAGGCCCCGGACCAACCCAGGCTTCAGCAGAACTCCAACTCTCCTGAGCTATGTCGCAGAGGATAGGTTCTGAGTTGATGTGAGGCCAGAATCTGATTAAACAAAAGAAGATGAAGCAGACTTTGGAAAGGCAAATATTTATACTCAACTAGGTATCTAGCAACCAAGTCCAAATGTGCAAGCTTCCAAAAAAAGAGGATGAATTGGTTTTCTGTTCCTGCTTTAACAAATTTCTACAAACTTGGTGGAAACTTGGTCATTTTATGTTTCTGAAGAACAGAAGTCCAACACAAGTCTCATAGAGCTAAAATCAAGGCAATGGCAGGGCAGCATTCCCTTCTAGAGATGCCAGGGGAATCCGTCCTGGTTGTTCCAGCTACCCTCATTCCTTGACCCATAGCCTCTTCTGCAACCATATTTCCCTTAGGACACGGTCAAAGAAAGTTTACTGCTTTTAAGGACTTTTGTGGTTATACTGGATTTCCTTGAATAATCTCTGGTAATCTCATCTCAAGATTCTTAACCTTAGTTACATCTACAGCATCCCCTTTGCCATGACAGGTAATGCATTCACAGCTTCCAAGGATGAGAACATGGACATGTTTGGATGAGGTATTGTTTTATTACCAAGGTATGGTACATTTCCTCTCCCCAGTGGAAACTATTCACCTGCTTTGGCACTGTAAATTAGTTTGTCTTTTCAAGAGTTCTATATAAATAGAATCAGACAGTATCTACTCTTTTGTCTCACTTCCTTCATTCAGCATCATTATTTTATCCATGCAGTGTCACTAGTTCATCCCTTGTTTGTTGCTGATAGAATTCCTTTATATAGCTCTACACCACAATGTTTATAATTCACTTGTTGGTGAAATTTTGGGTTGTTTCTAGTTTATGGCTATTACAAACAAAGCTGCTGTGAACATTATGTATTAGTCATTTTATAGACATACACTTTGATGTTCTCTTGAGCATATACCTTGGATAGAGGATATGGATCTTATGGCTCTTGTATGTTTACCTTAAAAAATACTATCAGACTGTTTCCAAAGTATTTATACCATTTTACAATTCCACCAGGAGTATATAAGAATTCTAATTCTTCTGCATTCTTGCTAATATTTACTTTTTATTGAGGATGGGAAGTTGCTAGGGATCAATTTGCATGTGCTAGGCAAATGTTCTACCAGTAAACTACATCCCCAACCCACTATTTTGAAGAAAAGAAAATTAGGACTGGGTGTGCTGGTGCATGCTTGTAATCCCAGCTACTTGGGAGGCTGAAGCAGGAGGATAACAAGTTTGAGATCAGTCTGGGCAGCTTAATGAGAGCTTACCTCAAAAACAAAAACAGAAAAAAGGCAAAACACATAGAAAAAACAAATAAAAACAAAACACATAAAAGTCATCTGGTCACTGCCATGGAGCCAAGGTGAGCTAATCAGATTAAAGGTTCACACCAGCTGGGTCTATGGTCCCTTCATGGGCGGCTTGATTGGCTGGTGATTCTTTTTTTTTTTTTTAATTGGGGCAAGCTGTGTTCCATGGCAGGTAACTTTTGGAAGAGCTCCCTCTATTTACAATGGATTTTGAATAAACAAGATTGGTGAAGGAACACCAAAAGGACAGGTATTTGTTACGATCCAAACATCAGGTGAACATCTTAAATTAAGATGTTATTCCCACTGCAATCATTTATATCAAGAGATTCTCTGCCATCTATTATCTGAAAAGTATAGATCCTATAGATTCTATGTTAATTGTGTTTTTGGTATACAAAAGAAAGGAATTTCAGGGAGTCTGAAATACTTTGTTTCCATTTTTCCCCTTTTCTTTCTCTTCTCCACTTCATAGTTTCCCTTCCCTTTTGAATAGTTTCTTTCTATTTCATATTATCTATTATACATTTTGGCTTTCAATTTCTCACATCAGAGAGACAATGTTACATATATATATATATGTGCCTGATTTATTTCACAACTATTGTGGAAATCAGTGTGGAGATTCCTCAAAAAATTAGAATTAGAGGGCCGGGGATTTAGTTCAGTGACGCCACTCCTGCCTCAAAAGCACAAGGTCCTGAGCTCAATCCCCTGGTACCAAAAAAAAAAAAAAAAAAAAAAATTAGAATTAGAGGTCCCATTTGAGCCAGCTGGGTAACTTTCTGAAAGAATTAAAAGCATCATACCAAAATGATATATGCATGCCCATGTTGATAGCGACAGATTGTAATAGCTAAACCTCAAAAATAACCCAAATGCCCATCAAATAATGAATGGATAAAAAAGATGTGGGTTTTTTTTTATACAATGGAGTACTACTCAGCCATAAAGAAAGATAAACTTGAGAAATTTATAGTTAAATGGATGCAACTTGAGACTGTACTCCTTTACCTAATTTGATTCTAGTATGTAACATAAAATGTTTTGATTATAAAAGTTTAGAAAGATTCTGAGGGGACTGACATACAGACAGACTACATAGGTATTTCAAAGTTAACAGCTTTTGATTAATACATTACTTCTTAATTTTGACAATAGAAATTGTAGCTTTATTAAGCCAGGAAACATGAAATTTAATTTGTTTAAAATTCTCTTTGGTCACTGAGTGTTTTGGTTTGAGTCTAGATGTCCCCGCCCCCCCCCCCCCCCAAGCCTAGGTGAGGCTTTTTGGAGGGGGCTGGATCTAGAGTGTGTGGTGAGGGGATTAAGTGTGTGATGCTGGGATTAAGAGTGTGTAATTACTAAATTAGTCCATTGGTTGGTTTGGCATAGTTCTGAGTGTGGATCATGATATGGCCCATCCTGGATGTGAGTGCTACCTACCGTAAGGGCATGTACCCTGGATAGTCTACAAGGGACAGAAAGAGGGCTGCTATCATTACATGCTGCTTGCTGCTTTTGCTGCCTTCTGGCTGCCATGAACTGTTTCTCCTCTACAATACCCCTCTGCCATGCCACCTTGCCTTGGAGCCAGCCAATTATGGACTGAAACCTCTGCAAACTATGAGCCAAAATAAACTTTTCCTCCTTTAACCTTGGGTATCAGGTATTTTGACTCAGAAACAAGAAAAGCAACTAAGTACTGAGGGACCAAAAAAGGACATAAAAAGTCAATATTTGTGAGTTCTCCACATTCAGAAAACTGAAAACAAAAACTTCCTTGTCTTTACTGGTTTTGTTCTGCAGTTTCCTCCAGTACTGGGAATTGAACATGGCCTCAGCCCATGCTAGGCAAATGCTCTACTACTAAGCTGCAGCCCTGGCTCTCCCATTGTGTCGTTTGGCTTTTGGAATGGGGTCTCACTATGTTGACCAGGTTGGCCTTGATCTCCTGGGTTCAGGTGATCATCCTGCCTCAGCTTCATAAGTACCTGGGACTATACGTGTGCATCACTGGGCCTGGCTTTTTCACTGTGTATGTATGTTTTTTTCAAATTGCTCTTTAAATTAATTTTTCTGAGCAAATAGTGCCAAATCTATGTTTGATGATTTTTATTTTAGTATTTCTCTGTGATGTAGTAAACAAGGAGCTGGGGGTCCAGCATGGCCCTACCTCCTCCTATACTCCTAAGGCACTTTCTAGTACAATTCAACACCAACATTTTCTAGGACAATTTAACTCTAGCGGTTCAGGCATAAAACAGGTTAAATGAGGTTTTTTTGGGGGAAGGACAGAGGTGTCTTAATCCCATAACTTTGTGCATAAAAACTATTTTATATTTTGGAGTTATAGAAAGGGCTCATAGAAAAACAAATTAAACAACAATAATTTTAGTATTTTAAAATATTACAGAACGCAATGTACTAGAAGCTGTGATTAACTCTGTGCATTATCTTATTTCATTAGGTCTGTGGAGAGCATTCTACTTTCTCTAGTACAGACCTGGCCTCCACAGTAGGGACTATTAAAAGTTTTTAAAAAACATGTCAAAGAAATCTGGACGTTTTTAGTGCCCTCCTAGATGAAGCCAGGCCCAAATCCCTTCAACTGAAGCTGTGGTGATTTCCAAGATCTTGGATCCTCTAGGTTTCTGCCATTGCTTCCTCTTTTCTCTCTCACTCAGTAAAAAACCCCTGGACTTGGCCACTTGTGAGGGCGGCACCTGCTTTATGGCGTTGAGAGTGCAGGTTTTCTTAGTGAATCTGCCTGTCGGTGTCATGTTCTCATCGTGAGGTGTTTAACTTCCTTGTTGGGCCCACAGCAGAAGCAATTCAAACTCGCTGCAACTGTTAAGCTCTTTGCCTTTCAAGTGGATAAAGCATACATGCCATGGGAATCCCATCGGTACAATTACTGGGGGTTATTCTACCTCCTGGAGTTTTTCATGGAATCACTTGCCTTCAGTTCACCTGGTAGCTGCTGTGGGCCAGGCAATTCTAGCTGGTACCGCCAACTGAATGATGTCCCTGAAGGGGTCTGGAGACTCTTCAGCTCTAAGCAGTCACTGTTAGGGTCCTCTCCACCCCCATCAGCAGAACAGAGTTACCTAAAAATAGCGAGGACAAGAACTTCCTCCCCAAAAGCTTTTCCCTACAGGGATTTAAGAGGCAGGAAAGGTCCTCCCAGGCTCTGGACGGTTCTGAGGATAACTCAATCTTTCTGGTTTCAAATTTCAGGAATGAGAAACGCAGGTCGAAGGTCCTTAGCTGGCTGGAGCACGGTAGACAAGCTTAGAACACTTAGCCTCTCTGGGGCCACTTGGCAAAGCGATGGGGCTGAAGGAGGTGATTTGCGGCCCGGTGTCCCGAGCTCAGATGCGCCCTCCGGATAGGAGGACGTCGGGATACAAACAGCGGCCCACCCAGTCCAGTCCTTGCAGTCATAAACATCATGAGCCTTTATAGGAAAATGAAACTGAAAATGGGAAAGTCCCTTCTCTGACCTGGCTCAGCGCCCCAGGCCCGGAGACTGGTGACGCCCCGCAGGCCCGGCCCTGATTGGCCAGGGGCCTGGCATTATATAAAGGGCGGAGCTGGCCGGGCAGGCAGAGTGCCCTGCTGCCTCATCCTGTGCGATGTCGTGCCTCTCTGCCCTGGGCCTGCTGGCCCTGCTGGCCCTGACTGGCGTGAACGCCATTAAGCGTGAGTGTCCCCCGGCCCCATTCCCCAGTAGCTCTGCTTCTGCTGCTGCTCTGGTGGGCTCGCGTCTTGCCGGTGACCTCCGTGGGTCGAGCCCCGTGGAGCGGCCCGGATGGCAGCCAATCTTCTTATCCCCTGTGTAGAAACCGGGGGCGAGGTTTGCACAGATCGTGGGGTGTGGGTGCCCCGCGCGGGTATGGGTGGGCAGAGGGATGTGGGACTTGGGGTCCGCGCCAGCCTGGTCTGCAGCCTCTGGGGGCCTCCTGACCCGCGAGGGAAGGGAAACACCGCAGTGGGTTGCGTAGAGAGGGCTTCACACACGCTCAGCACTAGTTCGCCCTCATCGCCCTTCACTTTCAAAGTGCATAATTGCCGGGCTTCCGGTTGTGACAGCGGGCCCTATGGACTTTATGCCATTTACTTTGGAAAATGTGCCTCAGAGGTCAATCCTAGCGTCATCTGCGTCTCATAGATGAGAAAACCGTGGTGCTGAGTTGTAAAATAATTTAATAATACAGGATAAATGCCAAGTGCCGTTCAAATTAAACTCGACCGGTGCCTGTTTTCAGAAACATGCCTTACAGCGCGCTTCCTGTGTGAGCCTGGGCCAGGCAAGTCAGGCCGTTTTTTCTTCACAGGGCTTCTTCTTTGGCCACTTGCCTGGGTATTTCCAAGATATGTACAGCCTCTACTTTTGGTTTTGAGAAAGCGCATATTTGTCAAAGGCAGGAAAGCTGTAGAACCTAAGGATCATTTCAGATGGTTACCAAGACTGCTGAGGACACCCAAGATTTTGAGCTCTTTGCTCATCTTTTCCTTTCCTTTCTTTTCTTCTTTTTCTCTTTCTCTTCTTTCCGTACTGGGGTTTTAACCCAGGTGTGTTTTATCACTGGAACTACACCCACAGCCCTTTTCATTTTGAGATGGAGTCTCTCTAAGTTGCCCAGGCTGGTCTCACACTTGAGACCCTCTTGCCTCAGCCTCCTGAGTAGCTGGGATTGTAGGCCTGAGCAAACTCGCCTGGCTTTATGCACTTCTTATATACCTGACAATATACTGGGCACTGTCATCATTTTCCCTCACAAAACACCACAGGACAGTGTTTTGATCATGTGAAAATGGTATCCATTTGCACACAATTTATTTACAAAATAAGGAATAATGTGTATATCATCACCGTTATTGATATTTCTTGTTGTTTATAAATGTGATTTTTAAAAATAACCTGACATTTAAAAGAAATCTTATTTTGACAATTTTCTGAGTAATTCATACTATGCCTAGATAGTTTCTGGACGATATATAAAAATTTTGGGGGCCAAAGATTTAGCTCAGTGGTTCTGCTGCCTGCTTCTCAAGCATAAGGTCCCGAGTTTGATCCCCTGTGCCAAAACAAAACAAAACCCTTTTTTAATAGTGATTGCCTCTAAAAGTCTATTTTCCTCCCATCCTGTCTGGGCAATTTTTTCTTTCACTGTGGGCATGAATTATTTTTTCAGCAGAACTTTGGTAGTTTAAAATAACTCTTCCAGCTGTGCATGGTGGCATATGTCTGCAAACCTACCACTCTGGGAAGCTCAGCCAAAAGAATCATCAAGTTTAAGTCCAGTCCTAGCAATTTAGCAACTTACTGAGACCTTGTTTCAAAATAAGAAAAGAATAAATAAAAATAAAAAGGACTGGGAATATAGTTTCCTGCAGAGGTCCTGGGTTCAATCCCCATTACCAAGAAACAAAAGTAGATTATATACATGAATTGATGTCAATCTGTATACTTATGGACAATAATACCTCTACATTTTAGATGAAAAATTTAGAAATAGAGTTTATGATTCTTTTCCACATTTCCATGAATGATCTAGTCATGTACCTTATTTTGGAAACCATTGTTCTGTAACATGAGGCAATGGCGAGTGCTGATTAGGAATGCACATCCCATGCTCACACACAGCATTACCTTTGGTCATAATGGAAAGGATGTTCTCCTCCCTTTGCTGGCATCCTCACCTTTCCCCATTGTATTTTATCTCGCCCAACTCAGTCATTTCAGGTCTTTTCTAACTCTTACAGGCATTTAAGTTGTGTTTCTTTGTTTTCTAGCTCATGAAATCAGATACAGAGTTGGCATATAAACTCTGGGCAGAAATAAAGAGTTTGTGTTTGGGCTGGGGATTGAGCTCAGTGGTGCTGCCACCTGCCTCACAAGCATAAGGTCCTGAGTTTGATCCCCGCTAACAACAACAACAACAACAAATTGTGTTCAGTAGGAACATACTTTGGTTTGACTTGCATGGACACCTAAGCAGGGAGGTAAAAATAATGACATCTGCTACTTATAGGACAATTGCTGTGTCGTAGGTGCTGTAATAGACATTTAATACATATTAGAAAGCCAGATGAGTATAGATGTAGGCAGGAGCAAAAACCAAAAAGGAAGGGAGTTAACCTAAGAAAGAAAGTGAAAAGGGCCGAGGCCATGTACAACATGAGTCATTTGATGTATCTACTAGGGAGGGTATGTGAAATGAGAAATTAAGTTTGAAAAGTAGATTGGGGCCTTGAGTGATACAGTAAAGATTTCAATAGATGCTGCGAAGACATTAAAGGTTCTTAAAAGCTTCCAGAGAAAAGTTTTTAAAACTTCAATACAGCCAGGCATAGTGGCACACACCTATAATCCCAGTACTGCAGAGCTGAGGCAGGTGGATCTCCTTGAGTTCAAGGCTAGCCTGAACTACAAGCAAGACCCTGTCTCAGAAAACCAACCAACCAAGCTAAAAAAGCAAAAAATAAAACAAAATAAAAATTCCAATACAATCTTCAATGACAGAAGACACTGCCTAGGGAAAATAAAATCCAAAAGACCTGTGTAGGAGAATGATGTGGAAAGATCATCGTTTATTTCTCAAAATGGAGGTAGCCTTTTGGTAAAGTTGAAGCTCATTTGGTGAGAATGGAAATGAAACTGGGAGAAATAGATGATCCAATTTAATATTTATTGATCAGATTTTAATACTTTTTGTAGCTTAAAACCAAGTTAGCCCCAAGTGAAATACTCTGGCAGTTATTTGTCTTTTCTTTATGTTTCTCAGAGACTCCAAAGATTCAAGTATATTCCCGTCACCCAGCTGAAAATGGGAAGCCAAACTACTTGAACTGCTATGTATCTGGGTTTCATCCACCCCAGATTGAAGTAGAATTGTTGAAAAATGGGGAAAAGATGGAAAAGGTAGAGAAGTCAGACCTTTCTTTCAGCAAGGACTGGACTTTCTATCTCCTGGTGCATACCAACTTCACCCCCAATGACAACGATGAATATTCCTGCAGGGTTTTACACGTCACTCTGGAGGAACCCAAGATAGTTAAGTGGGGTAAGTTTTCAAATTCTTTTCTTAGCCAAGTATGGTGGTGCATGCTTGTAATCCCAGCACTTGGAGGCTGAGCCAGAAAGATCACAAGTTCAAGGCCAGCCTGTACTACATAGAGTCCCTGTCTCAAAAAAACAAAATCGAATAAACAAACACAAAACTTTCCTTAGCTGTTAAAAGGTCTGTCAAAAACTCTGCATACTGGGACTTTTAGGGAATATTCCAAATGCATGATTAGAGGAACCTGCTGAGAGGCCACTGTACAACTTGCTTCCTGAGCCAGGAATGTCCCTGCAGTGAGAACAGAGAGCAGCAATGGTGTTTACATGAGTTTGCAGGCACTCCAGTGCTTATCTACTGGATTTCCTGCAGCCACCTGGACCCTCAGCAGCATGGAGCAGCTCAGGGAGGCACAGGCCTTGGCCTGTATGCCCCATTATCCTGGCACCATGCAACTGTGAGCTTTTCCAGTGCTCTTTGACTAGATTTGGCTCTGAGGCAGGCAGGGGTGGGTGCTAGTAGGGAGTTCTAAACTAGTGTCCAAGATTTGGAACAGTAGCTTGTTCTGCCACCTTTATTGCTAACAGTTTTGGGTATTTGTTAGTATATAGTATGTTAAAAGCAAAACTTAATGTTTTCCATTTTCTTTTTCATAGATCGAAACAAATAACCAGCATCACGAAGGTGAGGTTTTATTTTCTTAAATTTTGTTTTGTTTTGTTTCACTATCCTAGGGACTATTTGTAATAGCTCCAATATGATAACCCTCACTGTATGAAAAATGTAAATTAGACTAGCGTGTCAGCAGGCTAAGAAGAGTCCTGTGGGGTCACATTCCCTTCTGTAGAGGCATGAAGAGAGTTGGTGGTCACAGGTTAGCTTGATTACCTCTGCCAAGCTAAAGGTAAGGCAGAGTAGCTGTGGGTGTGGATGGCAGGATAGAGGCAGCCAGTTAGCATACCACCTGTGGGGGGTTGATCTTTCTTCTGCCATTTCTACACTGGCGTTTCTGAGAAGGAGGCTTTTAGAAAGGAACCATTCTCTTCCTTTGTATAGCAGTTACTTTGTTTTTCATCCAGAACAGAGGGGTGACACAGTTCTGCAGACACCCCATTTCTTTCATCTCTTACTCAGCTTCAGTGTGTGGGTACTATGTTTTTTTAGAGGCTCCCAAGCCACCCGAGGAAAGAAATGGAAACATTGGTATAAATCTATGTAAACACACTACAATAGATGTAGAAGTATGAACCAGAGAGAAACTTGGACTTCTCTGAATCTTCAGTTGGAGTCCAGTGGTAGAAAATCCGTTTTTTTCAATGAAATTCTACGGCCTTGATTGTTGAAAACCCATTCAAATCTCCTGTTACATTCTAAGACAGGGAAACTGACTTGAGAGAGTAGAACAGTGATCTGCTCAGTCACATGTACTAAATGGTAGAATCAGGGTTCAAACTCTAGTCTCAGCATTGTTTCCTTTATGTTTTAGAAGCACCAAATAGGTAATGCTCTTTGTAATGTGTTTGTAGAATTGTTTGCAGCTAGTTCTTATAAAAAGCAGATCTACAAAATAGAAATTAGACAGATTTGGTGATCTGTAATCCAAAGAAAGTAAATCACTTACTAACCTTTACTTTTTTTATTTTTCTTTTCAGATTTGAAGACACCTCATTTGGACAATTTCAAATTGTTTCTTTGCATTTTAAATTTGATAAGCTTGTATACTTTATGCACTCAGCAAGGAAATTATAATAACATTAATGTAGGCAGGCAGTAAAAAACCTCCTTATTACCAAGTAGTTGATCTTGTTGTGGTTTTTTTTTTTGGTACTGGGGATTGAACTCGGGTCCTTGTGCTTTCTGGGGCCAGGGATTTAGCTCAGTGGTTCCATTGCTTGCCTTGCAAGTGCAAAGACCCGAGTTCGATCCCTGGTACCAAAAAACAACATTAATGTAGACATTATCTTCTTTATAATTCTACTTTGAGCACTGTCTTTAGATTTGTCTTTCCCTGGAATCTAGACTTTCAGGGAAAAAAAAACAACCCTGAATACTAAGATATTGGATCCTAACTATCTTAAAAGGAACAAAAAAACCTTTGATTGGAACTTTATGTATAAAAACTATTCTGATACTTTGGAGAGCTACAAGAAAGGCTGGTTTATAAAAAAACAACTCTAGTTCGTTTTTTTTGGGGGGGTACCAAGGATTGAACTCGGGTCCTTGCATTTGCGAGGCAGGCAGTGGAATCATTGAGCTAAATCCCCAGCCTACTAGTTCTTTTCTTTTTACAGTGCTGGGGCTTGAACCTAGGGCCTTCTATATGCTAGGCAAGCACTCTACATCTACACCACTGAGCTACATCCGTAGCTTCTAAAAGCTCTATTGAATATGATTTAAAATAACAGTTGAACATGTCAAGCTTTTACTGTACACTGAAGTTTATATATCTCTTCTTATTAGGTGGATGTAGTTATTCTTTGGTTCTCCATAACATAGATGACTAATGAGCCAGGAGTGGTGGTACATGCTTGTAATCTCAGTACTTGGGAGGCCAATATAGGAGAATCAGTGAGTTTGAGGCCAGTGTGGGCTACATAGCAAGACCCTATCTCAAAAAACCAAACCAAACCAACCAAACAAACAAAAAAGCTACAACAACAACAACAAAAAACATAGATGATTAAAAAACCTAAGCAACTGGGGACATTTCTCTTTGGGAAACCACACAGGCTGAACTGAAGTCCAGTGCAGTGATGTACAGGCTTCCCTTTGGCAACTTCCTTTTGGCCCACTTCCTCTTTTTACTGTCTCCACTCAGAAAAACAAAAAACAAAACACACCCCAGATTTTCCATGACACACAATGTCATAGCATTATTTGAAGTGGCTTTCTAGGTATCCTTTGCTATCTGCAAGTATGCATTCCATTTTCATCACCCTGAAGATCCAGTGAATGTCTCAGGTCAAGTTCATGCAGAAGGAGGCTCTGAGCCTAGATCAAATGACTTATTAAGAAAGGGCTCCCAGGAGAAAACAGTAAGGGAGTGGGCATAAAGGACAGGGAATGGAAAGAAGCCAAGGGGTTGGCCTTTGGTGACCCATATCAGCTCATCTTTGGCTATTATGGGATTATAGGATGGCATGAAACATGAAACTCCTAGGCACTCCCAGTTCTCTCCAGTAGCTGAGAGCAATGTGCAGGTGCTAGTTATTTGTAGCAAAATATACAAAAGCTGGGGATTGGCTTGCAAAGCCAGATCTAGGTGGGTCATCGGTTGCTACTGTGAGTTTCCTCTACTGGGCCCACAACATATGCAATCCCAAGCTCCCATTACAAATTCAAAGATTCTAAGGTGCTAGCATTGAAGTGTGAATGCCAGTGGACTCAAAAGGAAGCTCAGATCTTCATTTCACAAGAGGAATTGGAAAATTCCTGGCTCAACCTTTTGGTTCGGATATGGTTTAATTGTGTTCCATGAGGGTCCATTATTAATACCCTCTTGGTCCACAGGGTATTAGAAGGTGATGAAATCTTTAAGAGATGGGGCCTAGTGACTGGTCATTGGTCATTGGGGCTGCCCTTAGGGAGGTAGTTCTCCTGAGAGGGTTATAAAAGGAGCAAGCTGGGTCCTCCCATCATCTTTGCTGCTGTTTAGCAGTCTAATCACTTGCTTACTCTTCCTGCATGTACTCTTTCCATTTCTTTTGACACTATGAGGTAGTGTAGCCAAGGAGCAGCCCCTTGCCATAGAACCTGTGTGATGCTGGTTGGACTTTGAACCTCCAAAACTGTGAGCTAAATCCATGTGAGTAACCTGTGTCATGTATTTTGTTGCAATGAATCAAAGCTGACTAATATGGTCACCATATTTGTAAAATGGGATAATTATTCCCGTAACACAAAATTTACTCATTCAGTCACTTGTTCAGTAAAAATGGAGTGTCTACTCCCTACCAGGTACTGCTCCATGATGGTTCTGAGAAGGGGATAGCAGTGAGACGGGGTCTGGAAGATGCACACCTGTAAGCAACTGTGTTTACTTGCAGTGGTTATTTTTGCAGCTTACTAGACAGGACTGGGCATGCTCAGGGTGGTATGGCTATAGACATTCATAGCTTACTAGAATAAATCACCCAAAACCAAGGCAAGGAAATACATGGAAAAACTTCTTGGTTCGGAGCTGCTGAATCCCTCTCCTTACCAGGCTTAGACAATAGGCAAATATTTGCTGTGGACAGTTCCACTGAGCATAGGACTACACTCAAACATCTGGTAGCCTCTGGATTTCTGAGAATGCCCTTCTTACTCAAGAAATTCACTAAGTCTAATTGCACATTCAGGAGCTCCCAATCCTCCCTTTGTCAACATTCTTATTTTATTTTTCTCAATCTTTCCTGGTCTCAGTTTCTGTATCTGTAAAATGAGTTCTAAGAGATGATCGTGCAAGTAATTTATGTAACAGAGCTTTATCTGTTAGATTTTTAGGGTACAGACAGTATGAAGCTCAGGCTTGGCAGACTGAGGTGGGCACAGTCTCCAGGATCCCAGAGCAGATTAGAGATTTCAACCCAAATAGATTCAACATTTTTATATTTAACCTCCCCCCCTTTAAAATAATTGTTTTGTGTGGACTCTCTCACTAATATGAATATAACAGGCTGCAGTGGTTGGTGTAAAATAGTAGCAGAATTTTGCAACTAGCCCAGAATCTCTGTGAACCAGTGGCACTGAAGATTAAAAGGCAAGCTGTCCTGAGAGTGTAGTTGTGGTGACGGTGAACCTTTTAGAGCTTTCAGTGATAACAGAAAGCCAGCTGCAGCACATGTACCATAGGTTTGCCACCACGAGTGTAAGGTGTCATTTTCTGAGCTCCAACAATGACTCATTTAGATTTAGTATTGCTGCCTCTGTTGTATCTATTTGAAATGGTGAAAAAAATCTCTAGGTAATATTCCAAAAGCAAACCCAAACCCAAAATACAGGTTGTTTTGAATTCTAATGGTAGTTACATTTCTGGAAAGTTCAGTGTATAAGATGTAATAAAAAAGGTATGGTGAATATTTAAATTAAAATTATTATAGTAACCATTAACCCTCTTCCAAACCCTCCTCATTTCAGCCACACCCATCCTTCTTGCAGCTATCTGAAGCCACTCTGGACGTCCTCTTTTGTGTCTTCAGTTGTGTTGGCCTGGCTGCCTCCTTGTCCTGAATCAATTAAAAAACTTTTGACTTTGGGGAAGAGCCAGAAGTCACATGATACCAGATCCAGTGAGTGTTTTTCACTTGACAGAATGTGAAGTGGCACAATCCTGCAACTCCAATGCAATGTGCTGTTCATGATCCATGAGTTATGGCACACTGTAAAATGCACCTCTCAGTCATAGCTCACAACTGACTGACTGCCCTGGGCAAGTTGGAACTTGCCATTCACTGTTATTAAGGCTCAGGGAGCTGCTGGTTCTATTGAAGACCCCTGCCTTTCTGTTGGAGGACACCTGGCAGCAGTATTCACTGTATTTTTTTCTTTGCTACCAGGGGTCAAACTCATGTCCTGCACTTGTGCAGCAGGTGGCAAAGCCACTGAGCTAAATCCCTGGCCCCACTATATTTTTAAATCACTCTTTGTATGTAAATTAACCTGGGATAGGAAATGCTCTGTAAATATTCAAGAAATAAAAAACTCCTGAAAAATAAACACATTTTTATGCGTGACTGTAAGTCCAGTTCTAAACAGAATTTTCATAACTCGTGTATAGGCTGGGATTGGCCCCTAAATACTACAAGTAGTTTCATTGGAACAACCAAAATTGCTCCAGTCATTTCTTTTTTTTTCTCATTAAGTTTATTGGTACATTTTAGGTATAAAATACAGTTACATTCATCATTGGGATCTTGTACCATTACATGAGTATCT